GGCAGAGCATTGGTTCACCCCCCCTCTTGCTGCCGCCGCTGCCTAAGAGCTTTGCCGCCAATTTTACTACTCAGCCTTGCTCGCTCTTCCTCACCATCGAGGACGGCCTCCCGTTTGTGTGTCTCATTGCTCCACAAACTGATCAGCTTGTAACCTGGGCAGGAGGGGACATCCTGGGCCAGATAAGCCTTCAGCTCCCTGCCCACCACACTCCCCCCATGTGTAACCAAGAGCGGATTTGCCCTACCTAGCTTAAAAGGAAAATAATTCCCGCCAAGTCAGAATAATATTCAATAGCAGAATCCTTCAATTGGTTTACCTGATTTAAAGCCTAGACTGGGGAGCAAAGACATAAGATATCAACCGTCGCTTTAAAAATTAGATCCTAACTCCCTAATGGCTCAGGGAATGGTTTCCCTCTTTACTTTGCAAATACTTTGATAAATGGTTACTTGAGAGACCACAACTTGTTTTCAAAAGTCGTTTACAATTAGAGGGATTGCATAAATGCTCATTTGTTAGTGTGCTTCAGAAGCCTGGCAATTCATCATGCCCAAACCGCAGCTAAGCAGCACATTGAGAGAATACCAGTCTGTATCTGCCAGCATGTTTCTAATCAATTCCCCACATGCTGCAATACTCACTCTGTACGGCGAGGGCTAACTTGGGTTTCCTTAGGCAGACACTCAGAAGGGTTCTCTAGGGGAGCAGTTTGTAAGTATGTAAATAGCTTTGCAACTGCAACTCGTCTTTATTATTTATAATTACAGTAGTGCCTAGAGGCCCCAGCCAAGATCAGGTCCCACCTTGCGAAGCATTTACGAACACAGAGACACAGCCCCTGCCCTGCAGAGCTTATAGTCTAAATGGACAAAACAGGCATGGGGGAAACTGAGGCACAGAAAGGTGATGTGACTGACCTGGGATCACACAACAGGTCAGTAGCAGAGCTGGGAATAGAATCCAGATCTCCTGACTTCTATGTCGGGGCCCTAGCCAGTAGAAGACCATGGTGCCACTTTATCTATTATAGGATGCATAATAAGGCACTCACTCAATTATGTATGAGCTACATTTTCAAAATTGTGCACAGTCAGGCATGCGTATGTTTATGCACACCTAATTTAAGTGAGCAAGACCTGATCTGCCCATTCAAGGTGCCTGGTCAGTTAGGCACATAAGTGGGTGTGTACATACACAAACCCCTCCTATGTGCACACATTGGATATATGTGAGTGTGTAAGTAAGACTCCTGTGCACCTAACTAAAAACCTGTCTATGCTCTCTCAGACAACGGAATACAGCCAGCATCTTCTATACAATTCAGTCTAGTTTGTTTCATTAAAGGAGAAACAGATTGTGTCTTTATTTACCTTTTTTGGTAATTGCTGGTACTTTGACCCCAGTCACACTCAAGTAGTTTACAAAAGGGAGAAAGGATGTGGTCCAAAAGTAATTACAGAGTGCACAAAAAACAGTGCATCCTTGTGGGAAGTTGTGTGAGAAGACAGTCTATTTTTTCTTTTTCCTATAAATGGAGCCAAAACCAAACCAGGAAATCGGTTGCTGGGTGAGGCGGGAATCTGACTGTTCTACGAATCATATGTTGGGGGGGGTGGCTGCCCTGTGATAGCATGGCAATGCTGCGAAGGCCCAGGCCTTTCCCCAACTCTAAAGGAGATCATGCAGCATCATATATCAGAGCTCAGACTGAATTCCAGCAAGACCACAATTATGGTGCCTAGGACAGAAAACGCAAGCAGTATACCAGGCGGTTAAGAACTTCTGGTCTACAATAAGCATTTGCATCAGAAAGCTAGTGTCATTCAGAAACTAGGCGCTTGGGCATGGCTGCCCTTCAAAAATCAGATGGCAACCATGGTCGTGGTGTGACCATCTTAAGGATGGTGATAGACTCCCCCCATCTCCCTTCACTTGAAGGTCTGAGGTTACAGCTACATGCCCTGTTGTGAACTGTCAAAGGGGCTCCTGTTACTGACAGCTACTGCCCACTATTGCAGAACAATTGTCACAGTCTGGACCACAAGCATCATCAACACAAGACAGCTAGTGGTAGGAGAAGGGCTTAGCAGTCGCACTAAACAAAAAGTGGGGGAAGGTTTCTGAAAACGTTCATTTAAGTTCAGAAATTAATTTCAGTTCGATCCTGTGCATTCATCTTGGTCAAGCTTTACTAACACAAATAGTTGCGGAAAGCAAATTTTAGCCACAAATATTTGTAACTAATGCATTTCAAATTGCACACCCAGTTGCAGTATCCAAACTCTGAGGTGTGTTGGTTAGTTACAGGAGTCATTTAATAACTTGCTTGCGACTATTCAGATAGCCAGACTAGGACTTGATTAAAACCCACTTTGTATACATGCACTGCACCTCCTTTTTAACATTTGCACCATGTAATTATCAACAGTCCCTCATTTGGCTCTAAACTAAGATTTCTAAGCAGAATGAAACAAATGTATAAGTGTTTGAGTTCAGCAAACTGGATGCATTATACTGATCAGAGTAGCCTAATTCCCCCTGCTGAAAATTACTCCACAATCCTCTATCAGCAAATAAGGACCATGTAACTTCAAGCCTGTTCCTGTTCCAGTTGAAAAATCAAGAGGATATTGCCTTTTCCTTTCAATGGGACTAGAAGTGGGCCTTCATTACCTATGAACTCGGCCAGATGTTCCAGAGAGATTGCAGATTTCTTCATGGGGGTGGGGAGAAAGCTTGCTCAGCCAAAGAATCAAAACTTTGATACTTTTAAAGCACAGAACAGGTGAGAGTGAAAGCAAAAGCAGGCTGGAGTAAGCCAGTGAAGAGATTGCTGTTCCAGGCAATATGGGGTCAGGTGCATTACATTAGTGGCGGATGGCTCCCTCGCAGAAGGAACATTTTATAAATCAGCAGAACAAGACAAGTGAAAGGTGAGTTTACAGTGACAGCATTTGGCTAAACACCTGATTAATTGCGGTTTCTACTGCAGCACTGATAGGAAAATACTATCCTTATGTTAAACTGTGGCATGGAATCGGTTGGGCTGAGAACTCAGTTTGGTTATTCAATAGCAGTTTCATAGCCAGCTGTAAACACGGAGTATAAATCTTTGCAGCTGCCCAGTTCTGAATGGCTAAACATGTAACGAGGCCATAAATACTCTCATAAAAGGTACTCTCCATTTTTTTTTTTGCTATAACAACCTACAATATAGCAGCACTTGGTGAAGCCACCTTCTCCCTGAGCTATAGCAATTAAAAAAAAAATCTAAACAGCTCACTTGAAAGCAGCAGCTAATATATTAGCAGGTGGCGCAGGGTACAGGATTCCGAGAGCTGGGTGTCGCAGTTACAATTCTTGTTAGCTATATTACAGTAGCATCTGTGGGCCAGAGTCAGGGATCAGGGCCCTATTATGCTATAGGCTGTACAAACAGGGAACAAAGTGACTATTATCATGAGAAATGTAACACTTTTTTACAGGGTGACACATAAGCACTCATTAATTAACCCCTTAATTCCTAAAATCCACCACAGGGGAAGGACTTTCTTTTTTTAATGTGGGTAAAAGAATTCTGGAATGAAGGGGTAAATTAAACCAGAGGGTCTATATTCAGAGACGACGCTCCCCCTGCCCCCTCAATCCATTTTTGTGGGGTTCTTTAAGAGGGCAGGGGAATCCATAGAAAATGTTTAAAACTGTAGGTGCGGCACTACTTCAGGCGCAGGGCTCCCTTCCCTACAGAGCTGTAAAGCAGAAATGTGGAGAGGGTTAATTGGCTGTGTCCTAGTGTCCCCCTCCCCCACCCCCAAAGCCTGAGATTGGTGCAAGTAGACCTCCCCTGACCATCCAGAGCACTGAAAGATTCTGAACAGTTGTTTCCAGGATTTCAAGTGTTGAAAGGAGTTCTGAAGAGGGCCTATATTTGCTCCTCTCTCTCTGATCCCCAGCCAGTGATCGTATTGACATGTTGGGGAGGGTTCCAAGCTTAGTCAATGCATTTCCTTCCTTTCCCCTACAGATAAACACCGTGACTGTGCAGAGGCAAGGGAAAAAGTTTACCCCCAAGACCAGGCAGCCCACAAATACTACAGGAGGTTCTGTGGGGCAGTGCATTTTTGGGCGGCTGAGGCTCCAAAAAGTTAAAGGGGGGGGAAGCCTTTCCTAAGGAAGGGAATGTTCTCCTCTTGCTGCCCAGGTAATTACACATTTCACTCTTGAGCCTTAATAAGAAACTACCAAAATCCCCAGACATCAAGGGAAGACCCCAGAGAGCTTGAACTATTTTGGCTAAGCCCAAGCGTAGTGTCAGTGCAAGAACAGAGGCGTCCCCTCAAGTCATCCCCTTGCAAAGTGCAGCATGTCTTTTCCCATTGCTACCTTCTGTGCCCTACAAGATCTGTCACCAAATTCAAACCCCAGACATGCAGCTGCTTAGTGTACTAGGCACGCAAATTACAATCATTGGCTGTCACGCCTGCAGATCAGATTCTGCAGGATGCAGGCACACACAGTTATGCATGCAAGACCAGAATCAGGCTCCAGCAAGTCTCTCTGTTGGCTTTCAGTTCCCTTATTGGGCCAGATCTTGAGCTGATGTAAATCAGCAATGGAACTGCGCCAGTTGACAACAGCGGTGGATCTGGCCCAATGTGTGTAACATGCCTAATGACGCACCTCACCCTGTGCTGCAGCACCAACTGGTGGCTAGCCAGGGCTGTTAACTGCACAGAATCTATCGGCACAGGAGAGCTGAGTTCATTCCCTTTTCGTTCCAACAGAAAACACTTTGTAGTTAATCCAAGCACGTGCCAATCCTCCTATTTACATTGATTTACTTAGTCACAGATGAAGATAAGAAAATCACTAGAATTTAATACACTCACACACTTTACATCACTGCCACTCTCCAGGGTGGAATCGGAGTGTGGGGACTTAATTATACTCTTAAATAAACACCACTAAATCAAGAAAAGAGACAGTTAAAATAGAAAAACATTTAGTTCAATTTATTTAGCAGCATCTTTATTGCAACAAAAAGGATTTGTAATAAAACGCGGCAAAACTAATGTTTCCACTTGACATGATTAAAAGCCATGTAGCTAGAAATGGAGGGAAACCCATAAACCTACTGGGTGTGAGACATGCAATTTTGTTAACACAAGTCAACACTTAAACAGCAGGCACTTCATGTTCTAAAATTAAACACCTGAACTTCTACTGTGCAGAACATCAAAGTAAAAACCACAAAAAGACCTGTCCTTTCAGAAGGCAGCCCAAAGCACCCCGGAGGATACAGTACGTGTATTGACAGGGGTCTGGTAACTCAAGTAAACAGGCAATTCAAGGCAGTATTCTAATCTGGCTGATTTTCCCCCACCTTGTTATTGCCGTCTCAATATTCAGTGTCATGCTAGCAGCAAAACATACTGCTCTCCACATGGAACACACAGATCAGCAAGAAACACAATCAATTGTTTTACTCTGACAGGTTAAGTCTCAGGACCCTATTTTGTCAGTTAACGTCACGGCTGGATTCTTTGCTAGATGCAACACACCACACATACACAGTTCTAAAGAGTTAAACCTTCAACATGTCAAGCCCATCCGGAAAGTCTTTGCTAACACTATTCCCAAATGCCCCCATTAGCAGGGAATACATTTTCCATTTTAGTATAATTAAGGTAATTTATTTTCAAAGCTTCACATGCTGATCAGAATGAATTGTTTAATTAATATTGGATAGTAAACGGAGTTTATAAAATGAAGTCGTATATATATATTAATACAAATGATATATTTGGAAATGTGGAAAAAATGCAGATTACTTGCCCCAATCTAAAATGTTCCCTGCCTTCCGCCCTATTCTTTATTAAAAGGAAGATTTCCTTAAGTAATGGAAAGCACTTCAAAACATTACACCATAGAATCTGTCCCCACTGAAGCAAACCGAACACTATTCGAAAACAGACAGAAAAGATCTGTTTACTGGCATCCCTATTCAACACAACTAGTCCCTCAGTCTTCAAATCCCAGCCTTTCATAAATGCTCTATTGTTTTTCAGCAAAAGTTAAATGTGTAATTTTATTAGTCACAGGATTGGGTGGTAAGATGCAAAGATACCTGCAACCGTAGGAAAGAGATTTACATTCAACACTTAGGGCCCACTCTTGCTATCATATACCACTAGGTGTAGTGGTTATTGCTGGGAGTAACCCCACTCAACTCAAGAGGTAGATCTACACATGGATAAAAAACTGGGGGCTCATTTGGGTCAGGCTTGCAGTGCTAAAAATCTCTGTCGATGTTTGGGCTCAGGCTGGAGCGCAAGCTCTGGGACCCTCGACATCTACACAGCAATTTTTCAGCCACGGAGCCCAAGCCCCGTGAACCTGAGTCAGCTGACCTGGGCCAGCCGGGCGTTTTCTTATCCCCAGGTAGGGATTTATTTCGTGGAGCAAGGTGGTGATGTCTCCTCCCTGGAATATTCTGTTCTCAGACTTCCTGCCTAGGGAGTTCACTAGCCCTGCTTAAAATTTAAAGTAACATTACAACTTGGCCATTTTTGAAGTAAGTCCACAAACAAAAACAATTTAAAATAAATCCAAATGTAAAATATCATGGGCAACTCCTCTTGGGTGAAAATGCCATCTCCCCAATCCAGAGATTTTGGACTTGGATTTAGGCAATTCCAAGGATCCAAAATGCTGCAGTAACACTGCCATCATACACAGTACTCCGGACGGATACTGCAGTAACACTGCCGTCATACACAGTACTCCGGACTGGTACTGCAGTAACACTGCCATCATACACAGTACTCCGGACTGATCCTGCAGTAACACTGCCATCATACACAGTACTCCGGACGGATCCTGCAGTAACACTGCCATCATACACAGTACTCCGGACGGATACTGCAGTAACACTGCCATCATACACAGTACTCCGGACTGATACCGTAGCATAGAAAGACTGGCTTACAGTTGGCAATCGGTGCAGAACTGCTGAACTTAGCTGTGGCTTGTCCCACCGAGACCAAGCAGGATATAATATTCTTATCTAGTGAGCAGCATTTCCAGTTTTAAGAGTTACTGATGGCCTCACACTTGGTATTTCACAAGGCAGTGCTCATTCCCTGTGGACTTGATCGTGCCCCTTTAAATCAACAGGAATTCAATGGGGGCTGGATCAGACCCTATGGGATATACCTTTCATTACCGTTACATGTGGCAAGCACCCTTTGTACAGAACTCTGAAATACTGAGAGTAAATCCTTCCAGCATTTCCACAAGGAAAGAAAACATGGAGTTTTAAAGTGCCTGAGAGCTGTAAAGGAAATTATTTTTGTAGAAAAGGAAAACATAATTTATGTTGCAAAACAGAGTACATACTTGGTTCTTTAATAGTTTTCTGAGATATATATAAGATATATTTAAAATAAAGAGCGAATGCATTATTAAAAAGTTACATGTAAGCAATGTTATGTTCAGTGCTAAACCAAAATCTAGATTTGATTACCAGAATCGCCTTTAATGCCTCCTTTGCCGTAAGCACTGTTCCATAGAGGTCGTTTTGTACAAAAGAATCGATTTTTACTTCAGAATCATATACATTTATATTCAAGAGAGAATCTCTGGAGGAGGAACAAAAATACACCCCCAAACGCCAGTTAATTTAACATTGAACAAAATATAAACAACCTTGGAAAATGTGATACCGTCCACGTGTTATTTTATACATATACGTATATATGGACCGATGCAGGGGACATCTACATAGCAACAAAAGAACCTGCGGTGCGAGTCCCAGAGTCCAAAGCCTGAATGTCCGCACTGCTAGTGTTAGCCTGCAGTACGAGCCTGAGTCAGTTCAGCTGGGCTGTTAACCCAGGGCAGCAAGTGTTTCTTTTGCTGTGTAGACGTGCCCATCCATACATGTAAATATACACTACAGCATAAATACGTAAAGAACCAGGTGGGATACCATAGTAACCAATTTGTATTTTTTATACTAACTGGCACATTGTTATTCTTCAAGCTTATCAATGTACCAGCTTGTCTGTAAATACTAACTACAGCACATGCCATAGGATGGCTGAAAACGCCTGCTTTTTCTGAAGGGAATTCACTTCAGTTACAATAATTAGCTATTGTTGGTATAGAGAAGACAGTGTAGGTATTGGGCTCCTTACATTCCCCCAGTTCCCCAAAATAAAAACCTATAAACCTATTTTCCATATGCTGATGGTGTAAATTACAGGACTTTAAATATCATCAGTCCAATTCAGAATAATTGTGCAGGGCATGGGGGGGAAAAAAGAGGTGTATGCTTACAGGAAGTGTTTATTTTGACTACCTTTAGCATAAGCCAATGGACCAGATTCTGCTGTCTCTTACACAGCTCTTATATCCAGGTGATTCCAGTGGAGTTATTCCCAATTAATTCTAGTGTCACGAACACCAAGGTCAGGGCCGATTGTTTTAAATGTTAGAGTTCTAGGGTCTGCTGAGCATTCATATACCTACAAAAGTTATTAAAGCACATTGCTACAATATTTGGGGTATTTCAAGTAGGAACACAAGCCACAGGGCATCCAGATTTCAAAAGATGAAAAGAGAACCTTGCTCTGCTTCTCCCTCTGTAGCATCAAAATAGAAGGGAAAAAGTTCTTGGTTTTTTAAAAGAAAGTACCTAAAAATGATGGGACGCTAACACAGAAACCCCAGGCAGAGTTTTCTGGTTTAAAAGTAATAATTTGACTATGGAGTTCTATTTTAAATAACATTTTGAAAGTTAGAAGTATTTTCAAACACGTCACGTTTTTCAGCCAAGTCCATATCACAGTTAAAACCACACTAGCAAAGAAAATCGTGCTTTAATGTGATTTTAATATTGCAGGGTGCTAGCTTCTAGCAGCATTACCTTAAGCAACACAGACAAGGGTTTCTCTCGGAGGACAGCATAGGACCATGCTACACCGCAGTGCTAGAGACGACTCAAGGGTGATGGAGTCTGTGTATGTATATGTATATACAGGGGAGCAGGGTGACTAGGACAATAAACTTTCTCAACACTGATCTGAGAATAATGCTAGAATAATGACAACAAAAAATTAGTAAAACACAATTTGCATTGCTTCAATGTAGTGTTGATAGGCCCCCATCTTACCAACTCCCCAGTGGACACTTGCACTTGGGAGTTTTAAAATCTTAGTGGGGGAATATTTATACACCCACCTGCTGAGATAGGAAAGTATTTTGAAAACAGCCTCAAAATGCACATAGGGTGAAAGTCCATGGGAATAGGTTGTATTTTTAAAATATGAGAAATATACAAAGTTTCAGCTGTTTGGCTTAAAACTAGTTTGCTTCTCAGCATACAAGGCTAACTCTTCTGCCCATGTTATTGTAAAATACATTTTCCACCTTCCTGTGTGAAATCAGGTGCAAACTGTTTATCACACTACAAAAGAAAAAAGCAGCAAGATTTGTACTGCACAGAGATGAGCTCACTGAAAAAAATGGCCTGATCTTAGTTAAAACCAAATTATCAACTTCAGGAGGCAGCTAAAAGTGTTTCTTTTTTAAAACAATTATCTCCAACATCTGGTTATATAATGTGTCTAATACGCAGCTAATTCCTAATGAGCCAGACATCCCTTGCACGAAGCATAAACTATTACAACATTACATTTTTAAATGTTATCCAAGTTGTAACCATCCAGACAGATTTTTGCCATGACGTGAGCGAATCATCCAATATTACCTTGTTGTAAGAAACTGAGAAACACACTGTAAAAAAATACACCAATTAGACTTGCACAGCTCAATGTTTTCAAATGGTGAAGATATGGTGTGGTGGAAATGGGTTACTGAATTTTCAGCTTCTTCCAAAAGAATTTGCATGGTACTGCTGCGTGCCACAGACATTTGATTTTATTTCCATTTTAAAAATTATTAGGCCATTGTACTGTAGTGTCCTTGTATGGCACCTAGTTTACTTAAAAAAAAAAAAAGTGTCTGTGTGTGCGTGTGTGCAGATGTGGCAGGCACCAAAATGCAACATTCTGTTCGATTTTCTCTAAAGATCAATTTCCTCATTTGGTTAAGCAGCCAGTGTATCAGAGTTCCACAGAGGTCACAATTACATTGCCTTCAGTGCAGCAATGTGAGAGCCAAGATTCTCTTGCAGATAATGCAGTAGATGGAGTTCATAATGCTCTCCAGACTCGGGGACCCTTATGCTGTGTCTTTCCTGAGGGTAAATCTAAAATAGAAAATAAAGAGTCATGAACACACACCACTGGCTAACAGCAGCTCTGAAACCAGCTACCTGACACGGGTTAATGATGAGCAAGGACCTGTGTGAGAGATTAGAGAAGAATGTTTGATATAGAGCAGGGGGTTCTTGGCCCTTTCCACATCCTGACCTCCATGTTACAATGGGGGGGAGGGGAGGAAGGAGGGAGGAGAGAGAGATTCAGCACCCCTCTCCCAAGTAGCAATAAAGAAAGGGAGGGTGGAGGCAACCCAGGATCTAGAGAACCCCATTTGCAGGGAAACCATTAGTCTCTATAGTAAAATGCTGGATCAATATGTGATTTGAACATTTTTTGTTGCAATAAAAAATACCAAATAAAATTGTCCCTGTCTCTTTGATGGCAGGGTGAAGGGGAGAGAGGGCAGGTCGATGCTGGGTATGTGTCTGGCCTGCCACCCCAAGCAGCGTGGTTAGGGAACGTCTATGTTTTCTTCTTGGCGCAGGGATTGAAACCCCAAAATCCCAGCACTCAAAGGAAAAGTTTCCCTTTTACAATATTCTTATTTATCTTTAGAACAGAACTTGGTGGGAAGAAACCTACAACTACTTCCTTCCTCTTCCAAATCCACAGCGAGTGTAAACACAAATGAGTCCAAATGGCTAAACCAAATGTTAACACACTTCACTGCCCATCCGGATATTAATTTTGAGCTGGATGTGGAAAAAACATTCAGTTTTTAGAGTAGGTTCTTAATCCCCCCAGTCTTGTCGTCAGATGTTTATGATCCACAACAGATCAAATACACTCCGTGTGTTCCAGTGTGGGTTTCCTCAGCCCTACCACAAACCCAAGTAGAGCTGTATCATTTTCATATCCAGATTCTGACAGTTTAGAAACCACTTACCTGTAAATCATATGGTTTTCCAGCCCTCACTAAAAAACTCAGCAATATACTTGTGTGTGCAAAGTGAACATTCTCGTCCAAGAAACCATGCAGCAGCAACAGACGGTGCGGTCTGAGAAAGGCAGGAGAAAAACATTTAGATACTTCCTGGAATTTTCCAGTCATTCTGCAAACTGTGCGAGTCCCTTACAAAAATATTAATCATAGAAACACACTCCTTTTGGTTTAAGCATTGCAAAACAAATGGCCCAATCCTGCAGACTGCTCTCAGACAGGACTACCACTGGCTTCCAATGCCAGGCTTTCCTTCCCTGAGAGTTTTTTGCATATAGAAATCAGGACTGGGCCTTATATTTGCATATCTACTTTAACCTCCCCAGAAACATTTTTGAGAGGGGATGCTAAAATTGGTTTATATGTGCCCAGATCACCACTGGACACTAATTCTTTAGCAGGACATAGCAATATCTTTGCATTCTAAACACACACAGAGGGATATGCCCTTACCTCTAGGATAAAGCATTTTTATCAAATACAACTTTTTGCCTAGTTCAATGCAGCTCAGACTGAGGAGTTAATTACATAATTGAGGTTCTGTCTGCCATTTCTTTATTCTTTAATTACAGCCAGTATAACGGGGATTACTTGGAAGGGCCGTAATTACGCAAATGTTCATTCAAGTTTATTAAGTGGTGTTTTAATACTGGCATTTATGGTTTCAGCATTTAATTGCTAAGAACTAGGAGATAAAAATGTGGGGGTAGGTTTGAATGTGACTGGCAGGGGGCCGGGGAGAGAGGGCACTGAACTTACTCTGAAGGAAACTTCTCCGCTTGCATGGCCACTGATCCTAGATAATATCCCTGCTCGTTGTGATCAGGGTGTCCCATGTAACGCTCTGTGTAGCCTGTGTCATAGAATAGCCATAGTGTGACTGGTGCTCCAGCAATGGCAACCTGGAAGTTCCAACAGGATCATCGGCATAAAAAAGGGATACAGGCAGACAGCTACTGACAACGTCCAACTGCGATCGCCCAAAGGAGGCACTTAACACCCACGGATATTTATGTGAACTCCGAAAAGAAACCAATGCAATGATAAAGCCTGCTCTGAAAGGCATTGGCAATAAGGTAACCAATCAAAAACAAAAAGCAATGGCAATTTAATTACCCAACACAAAGCAACAAAGCACCTTTTACAACCTGCAAAGGGGGAGAAGCGTTTCTCATCCTCCCCCTCACGCACACAGGGCCAGGGACCCCGCTTGTATAACTCACCACGGCTCCATTGAAATCCACGGCTCTACAACCATTTACACCAGCAAAGGCTCTGGCACCAAAAGCCTCTCTTTGGCTTGGTCTACACATACAAGTTTTACCGCCATAGCTACGTCGGTTGAGGGAAGAGGGGGACTGATCTTTCACCACTGGGCTTATACCAGCTCCCCAAACCAGCATGAGCTGTACCAGGATAAGCACTTTTATACCTATATAACTGCATCCGCATTAGCTATACTGGAATGGCCATACCAGCGTAACCCTCCCAGGGTAGAAAAGGACTTGCATTAGAAATTCAAACCCTGTTCATCCTTGAAAGCCCTTTGGATGAACAAGGAACTCCACTGAAGAAGTGAAACCCGAGTGAGAGGGGAAGCGGTTGTCACTGAGACCAGTGAAAGGTCTGGTTTTTGTCTGCAATACCTCCGTCCAGCAAATGCCTGACAGATACCTGGAAGAAAAAGCTCTCCAGGATTTGACAACCCCAGCCTCTTCAGTTAAGGGCCGAGATAGCTACCACGCCACATGTCAGTATGCTCCAGGGAAGACCGCCAACAAAACCAGGAAAGAGACTTGACATTGCAATTATTTTTTAAGGTAAAATAAATATTTTAAAAGTCTTTCAGGCCTGCTTTACACATTGCAATGAAGCAAGAAGAGCCACAAAGAACAAAATGCATACTGTTAGTCTGAGATGAAAATCAATAATCATAATTGTATTTTGCACTTCAACTCAAGCCTCAACTCACTCGCTCCGCCACCGGCGCAATGCTCTGGGTGGCGGGGCTGTGAGCTGCTGGGGCAGCGCAGCTGCAGAGCCCGGCCTGACCCGGTCTCTGTGCTGCCTGGTGATGGCAGCATGGCCTGGCTCCAGCCGGGCGGTGCGGCTGTAGCACCGCCAGCCACCAGTGCTCCAGGCAGTGTGGTAAGGGGGCAAGGAGCAAGGGGGGTTGGATAGAGGGCAGGGGAGTTCGAGGTGGTGGTCAGGGGACAGAGGTGTGGATAGGGGTCGGTGCGGTTTGGGGGGGGAAACACGGGGATTGAATGGGGGGCAGGGATCCCAGGGGGGCAGTCAGGAAGGAGGGGAAGTTGGATGGGGCGGCGGCAGGGGGAGGGAGGGCAGTCAGGGGACAGGGAGAAGGGTGGTTGGATGGGGCAGGGGTCCCGGGGAGGCTGTCAGGAATGAGAGGAGGGGTTGGATGGGGTGACGGAGGTCCGGGGATGGTCAGGGAGTGGGGGGTGTAGATGGGGCAGGAGTTCCAGGGGGGCCCCCGTCAGGGAATGGGGGGGGGGATGGGGCAGGAGTCCCAGGGGGGGCAGATAGGA